TCTACCAAACGTGGTAATTACATTTACCAAAGAAGAATTACCGGTAATCCTCTTCAAAAACTTGAAACAAACACCCCCTTAATACAATGAGGGGGCGTTTGGTACGAGGATTTTTTTAGGATTTTTGAAAAACTGTAATTTTTTAAATTTTAAATTTTTGGATATTATCGTACATTGAATATAAAAATTATATTTTTGAAAATTGAGATTCGCTGACAAAAAAAAATTTCTCCTCCACCAAACGCCCCTAAGAGTACCAAACTCTTTTACTAAAAAAAAAAGAAATCTGCTTTTCATTTTAACTTATATTTTTTTTATAATTTTCTTTAAGTCTCAAAAACTTTTTCTTTTTAATATGAATGTACCTGTAGCGGGAGTACTGTATTGAAGGTTTTCTCCTTTCCTAGAAATCTTTACTTCTTTTCCTTGTTTTTCTATTAAATCTAAGTCCACGATAGCAATGTTATTAGAACCGGACCGATCATTGACCCGGTCTAGGTATCGGGTCACTGGGTCAATGGTTCAACCGGTGGGTCACTGGTTGAACCGCATGAACCGGATATATATATATATAAATTTATATTTTATACTTAATTATATAATAAATATATTAAATGGTGCCATCTACACAATAACCTGATGTAGTTTAGTGGTATTTGCTGTGTTGTTTATCCTTAATGCAAGGGGTTAGAACCCCATTATATGCAGTTTTTGAAATAATTCTCTTAACTTAAAAGTTATATGATAAATATATTAAATGGTATAAATTATTCAACAAGTGATGGTGGCGTAGTGGTAGGAAACGACTCTCTTTACTCCAAGGTAGTGTGTTCGAATCTCACTTGTTCAAGGTTTTTGTTTCTTCAATTGTTTAAGGCAGACACCTTTCAACAAGTGAATTTTTTTTTAATATAATGAGCCTTTTCAGATTTCTTATATTACTAAGGTCACTACTACAGAATGTTCTGAGCCATCGAATATGGATCATGGTAGTTTGGGAAGTACGAAGGGTTTGTACCTAAAGAGGAGTCAGATCATGTGCAATTGGACAGTTAGGGGAAAAAAGTTTCACAAAAAAATAAAAAATAGAAATAAAATGTGGCAAAGTACAAGATATAACGGCCCTCACACTTGTGTTAACCCGGTTCTTTCACAAGACCGTATGATCCTTTGACATGATTTGTTCTTACATTTTACGAATGTAAACGAGACATTTGATAGAGGAGATATTTTTTTTATCAGGTAAATGCGATTACTAGTTATATGATAGGAAAGTGAGTTTGGTAAGAAAATTAAAAAAAATTGTTTGGTTAGTCAAAATTTTAACAAGAAAATTGAGTTAAATTTTGTGAGTCTTTATTTGATTGAAGGTGAAATAATGATGGATAAATGTGTTAAAATACCAAAAATAACCCTTGATATTTCAGAGATATAGACATGTGTACTTATGAGAGGGTAATAAGGTAACCTCTTCGTTCACCTTTTTTGCAATTTAGCTAGTTTTCTAAGAATATCATATTCAAAGTGGTAAAGTTCTACGTTGATTTGTTTTTGGTTTTGCACATACTTATCAAAGGCTGGAAAAAAGAGAAGCATGGCAAAAATAATTTAATCTTTCTACCAAACAAAGCAATCATGGAATGCCAATTTAAAATGGATGGAGAACCAAACCAAAAACTTGAACCAAACGCCCCGAAATTCCTATATTATTGATTATAGAAAGGATTAGAAGTTTATTCTAATTTAAGGGATTTTTGAGATTGAGATAAATCTTGACAATTTTTAACAAATTTGTCAATCATTTTTACCCCCTTTAAAGGGATTCAAAACTGACTAGCAAGGGTGTGTTGCGGGACCAAAAAATAATTAAAGATAGGACATTTTGAAAATAAGTTACTCTACTTATTTTTTTTTTGTCTGCTTATTTTATCTATTCCTCTTTAGTACCGTTAGTTTAGAATCTCAATTAACATTTATCATTTCTCTTTCTTCTTGAGATTATGATTTGATAGTGTTAGAAATTGATAGGTAAAATAAGTATGAAAAAAAGATAAGCACAATATCCTATCCTAATAATTTATCAGAAAGTTTATTAAAATTTAACTAAAAAAATCAACTAAGTTTTCATCATCGTTTAAAGAACTATATTGAGACTTCGGCACTCAAACAGATAGCCTCATATATATTCTTATGTCCCTATTAAAAAAATTCAAGTACTACACAATATTAACTTTCAAATTTAGAAACTATTGCCATTTGGACTTTGTTGTATGTTTTTATTTGAAACCATGACTAAGTTGACGTAGAATTTGGAAGAGCTTCAACATGGTGTCAAATTGTAGTGGACGTAACTCAGGCTCTATAAATTAAAAGAGTAAGTTGGCTTCCAAGGAATAAAAGAAAATGCCTTAATAATGTCTCAGTAAGATGTATTGTACATTTAAGATTGGAAAAGAGCATGGCAATGATTGATTCAGAGAGTTGGAGCCCTCTCAGCAGTGCCAGCAATCACAGTGAGCAAGTTGTTACCAAAAGGGTCACTGAGATGTTTTGCTAAGTTCTCAACTGGACCTTCTCCAGTGACATAAGCTTGCAAGAAGAAACCAAGCATGGCAAACATAGCAAGTCTACCATTCTTAATTTCCTTCACCTTTAGCAATGCAGCTTGGTCTGGATCATTTGCTAGCCCCAATGGATCGAATGGACCACCTGGATGAAGCTTGTCTTCGAAATCCTATCAGGATTAGTTAACAATTATTAAGTCAGCTGATTAATTTGTGTTAAAAAGTTCTTTAATAATAACCTTCCCATAAGTAACAATCCTTATGGATATGAGAAAGGCTCAGATAAATGTATTAATAGTGACAGCAAACAAATTTCACAACTAAAATGTTACATACCAGGCCATTAGTTATTCTGTAGTACTCTGCACCACCCAGAAGAACTATCTCAGCAATGACAGCAACAATAAGATTGATGGGGATAGGTTTCCCAAAGTAGTTCAACGTATTCCCATCAAGAAGCAATGCTCCGGTCTGCATTGATTCCATAGAGAAAATAAGCTCAGCGTAAACATATAGTCACAAGTTTTCAACCATGGGCATTTTAACATATGCTATATGCTAAATTAAAAGGTTAACATCTATTGAAAATTAAAATAGATAATTACCCAATGATCAGAAATAAGACATCGCCTAAACAATGAAAGCAGCAAATGGAATATGATATGAGTAAAATCAATGGAAAGTATACTCAATCTGAAGTCACTAGAATGGTCATTTTCTCATGGCATGAACTCAAGTACATTGGAGTTTGCTCATGGCAGAGAGGATAAGGGTCTTGTTTTGCAATTGCCTACAAAAGTGCTGCTAGCAGGCAGCAGCTGAGCATCAAAGCCAGCAATTCTAACTTTTTCCAATTTTACAGTTTGTACAGGCAAGATGAAGTTTGGAAAATGTTTAAGATCCAAACAAATCGCACACAACATTTGATTTCCTTGTGAACTAAGTGGCTGTGACTAATTGAACTGATATCAAGGGTTGTATAAACTAACATAACCATTTCCAACAGCTTTCACTTTAATTACCTCCAACCCAAAAGAAGGAAAAGAAAAAAGTGGAAGCACTTAATCAATTACAATTAAAAGATAATAAGCAAAATTTTGGTTTTAAGGTAAAGGAATTCACCCAAGAAAACATCAATAAGATAATGAAAATACCAAATAGAGGTATTACTTTCCTTGACTATCTTTCAACTACTTTCCAGAAGTTAACATGCATATGAAATAAGAGATACCATACCGGATACATGTATAATTGCAAGCTGTTTAGTCAAAACTTAGCTTAGTACAGTGTTAAGAGGTATATCTACATAATTAATTTGTTGAGTCTCATAAAACCAGTGTATTAATGAAGTTGACAAGGTGACACAGTTCACAGGGCTTGCAAACCTTGAACCAAACTGCCTCAGGACCACAGTTAGCTCCAAATTTGTTAAAGGCCTCAGGAATGATGAATCCAGCAGCACCAAGCATTGCCCATCTGGCGTGAATCAACTCAAATGCCTGATATCTACATCAAATCATCAAGCACCCCCACCACATTAACCCACAAACAATTTAACATAAGCACATATTCAAGAAATTCAGCATTTCAGTGTATATATAGATATCTAGTTTGTGAGTGTTTGACATACTTGGCGAAGTCCTCTGGCTTCTTGCCAAGACCAAATGGATCATAACCATAACTGCAAGCACGCAGATTAACAAATTAACAAAACAAGAACTAAACATTCATAGATATTCAGTACTTTCAAGTTCTCCATAGTTTATATGTCAATGAGAGTTTCAGCATGAAAGAAAAGGAGACTAATTAAAGAGAAGAAGACACATACTCTCCAGGCACTTCTCCTGTCAAGTACTCAGGGATCTCTGATCGGTCCAAGAGACCATCTGGCAAGAAGATCCTTCGGTCAGGACCTGCCACACCAAATGAAAGCAGTAAAGTTAACAAAATACCTTAAACCTTCAACTTCATTATTGTTGTGAAAGAAATGAGGATGAACAAGAACAACACTGAACAAAAGAACATTGAGACATACCATACCACTTGGCGAGCTCTTCATTGGCAGGAGATACAGCTTGCTTTGGTGGTGGTGCTGCCTTCTTTTTGGAGAAAAGAGCAACAGTCTTGAAGGTTGCAGGGCTAGAGGGTGATGGAGCTGACCTGGTGGCGCCACTGAGGGTCACGGGGTTTCCGAGCATTTCCGACATGCCAAGGGAAGCAGCCGCGGTGGAAGCGGCCAGGGAAGCCATGTTTTGGAAGCCTTAGAAACTCAGGTGAAGGTTGTAGAGGTTAACGAGCAGTGTAGTTGATGAATGAATGGAAGGGTAAGAAGAGGAATATACTATATGCATGGTTTGGTGGATGTGCATGTGCCACATCGGATTCATGATCATTGGCTCCTATTGGTTTGCATGCAAAATGTGTAATCCAATGCAAGGATTTCATTGGATTTTCTCTAATACGTGGAAGATGATGGAGCTTACGTGGGATGCTCCTGAGTTGGTATATTGCTTAGGTTTGGATAACATGTTTTATCCTAACTCGTGGAGGTTTTTCCATCATCCATTCCTCTTACCTGTAAATTAGTACTGATCAATTAGAGGATTTTTGATTTCGTAATTTTTCTTCAGATTCAGGAGAAACAATGTCTACCACATGATAGTAAGTCACATGACTTCCAGATACACAGTGCACAGAGACCATTTTATTTTCGTTATGGGATCATTTCGTGTAAGGACTTTTCTTAATGTAAAAGAAGAATTTCGACAAGTCAAGTATGACTCTGTACAAACCACTCATTTGGTGCCATCACCCATGGACTCTTGTGGTATCCGGGATGAAAGAGTTTCCAAGTAGACGTTTGATCACCCAAAAAATAACAGGATTTTTTTTTATTTAATATAACACTAATTACCTCTTTTTGAGGCGAATCAATCCCAGATATCATCTTAAATTTTAACTCTTTAAACCAGACTAATCCCAAATTAGGATTTAGTCAAAGTTAAAACTAAGAGCATTTTTAACTTAAGAAAATATTTTTTATTTGTATTAATAGTTATAAAAAATACAACCAAATTTTGTTTTCTGTTTTCAAAGATTTATATAAAAGCATAACATTTTCATGTTTTCATCACTTCGTGGGAAAACATTTTAAAACAAAATGATATTTTTGTAATTATAAAAAAAATAAAAAAAACAGAAAATATTTCCTTAAACCAAACAAGCCCCAATTTCTCAAACAGTATTTCCTAATTTTGATTATGTTGGTATCAACCCTAATTTGCTAGAAATTGCCAAAACCCAGTATAACAAGCAACCAGCCCTTGCTGTGTTTGCTTCACAAAATTCGGGCACACGGCAGACAATTCAGTGAATCCGTTCTTCAATTCAACAAAGGGGGAACTCGCTTATGTATGCCAACAAAAAAAAAAAAAAAGGTGGAACTCACTTTCAATGAAGACCAAATACTGCTCCAGCTGAATGTTAATATGGAATTTAGCATCTCGTGTATTGCTACGAACATAAGCATGCTGAGTTTGCAATGAATTATCATTTCGTAAGTAACTAAAAAGTACTGCTAGACATATCCTAGTTTATACGAATATACAATTCCCATTCATCGTTTCATCTTCTCCACTTGTCAATTTCTCTTGAGGTTACCGCAACAAGCTTTTTGGTATTAACGAAAAGCTCGTCCACAAGCGCAGTAATATCATCCCTGACAGCAGCATATAAAATATTCAAAACATCATATAAAATAAATTTAAAAAAAAAATTGAAATTACATAACAATCTCAGTCATAGAATAGCTTAGGCTTACCTTATTAATTTTATCACCGTGCGAAAGTTAGGTTAAAAGTGGTGCGAAAATATCATTATCCATTTATCCATACCAAAATTCTTTATGAAATTTAGTGGCTCAAAGTCTTGTGCAAAAGTTCACCAAAACTTATAATTACAGTCTGTTTGTGGGGTTAACAGTCTTAGATATGCTAATATTTTCCGACACTTTGTGTCTTGTGAAGGTAATTTTAACCTAATATTTTTGCAAAGTGTTCCTTCATTTATGAAAAACTCTCTAAATAAAAGGCAATTTAATTAATTTCAAATTGCTGTGAGGTCTAAACAGATTCACTAATTGAGTAAGTTAGCCGACGATAAACACAGAAATCTCTGTAATCAAACAAACGCATAAAAATGAAAGGAACAATAAAATGAAAAGAAAAAAAAAATAAGCAGGGAAAAATGAGGATATCTGCATTAAAAAAATAAGGCAATGTACTTACTGAGAAGGAATGTTTCCATAAGCACGAAAAGGAGTGCCATTGCCAAGATTAGAGTACCTATTATTCTCATCTTGTGCCATTCCCTTCCCCAAACCATAGCCAAACCCTAGGCCAACACCACATCCAGCACCAAATCCAAAACCAGCTTGGAAGCCAGGAATTCCAGGACCAAAACCCACTCCTGAAGTCACAACCAACTCGCATAAGATTTTATTAGCTCAGTGAAAAAACATCTAAAGTTGCTATATATTTAGCATCCAAATAGAATAGTGAAGAACTCGATGATTCCTAGCAGTAGCAGGGAGAGTGAGAAAATGAAATGTTAAGTAAAGTACCTCCGAGGAGACCAACGCCGATGCCGACACCGCAACCGGCGCCGAGTGCAAAGGCGGGACCCAATTTACCAAAATCGTTGGAGTTGATGACCGGAAGCTTCCAGAGCAAACCCTTCCCCCCACTATCGTCGCCACTCATCCTTAGGGTTTCGCAATTGGCAGAGGTAAAGGGTTCTCTAGAAGTTCCTACACAGGCACAGCTACACTACCCAAATTCAAATCAAATCTACTTTTTCAAGGCTCACCTTTGTTTGCACATAACACATATATATAAAAAGAAAAAATCCATCACTGTTGTAGAAACTAAAATTTTTATCATATTAAAAAAAATAGAAACCAATTTATTGAATAAAGTGTATCGTCACTATTTTTAATACTATATATACCTTGTCTTTTTCTTAACATGACAATAAAATGATTCTTACAACACGAGGGATATAATCTTCATATAAAAAAGGATAGGATATTGTAACAATCAATTATTATTATTATTATCAATGTTACTACTAGTTAATTTTACCGTTAGATTGATTATGTTGATCCATTTTGTATGATTATGAATCAGAGGTGAAAATATGGGAAATCATTAAATATAGAAAATCATAACCATAAAAAGGTGAAAATAAATATAAAGTATTAAATATGAAAAATCATAACCATATAAAGATGAAAATAAATATAACCGTTGGATTAACATAATCGATCTAATAGTGAAATTGATTGGTAATAACATTGGTCGTAACACTAATTGATTGTTACAATATCCTCTCCCTATATAAAAATAAAAGAAATACATTATGAGAATTGTATTTGGGGTATAGATATTATATTTATCTTTTTTGTATACTTTCTTTACCTGTTTATTTCTAATACATTTATATCAAAATTTTAAGAAGAAAAAAATGATGAAAATTAATTGAGATTTTAATCTAATAATATTAAAATTGAATAAGTAAAATATGTATCAAATAAAAGGTAGACATAGTATCTTTTTCTTTTAACTATATCATATAAGAAGTCAAGAACTCTTACACTTTGTTTGGGAGTTTGGAAGTGAGGGGAAAGAAGGAAAGGAAATTGAAGGATATTCCCTTTCCTTGTTTGGGAGTTAAAAAACTGATAAAAAAGAAAAAATGAGGGTTAATGAGTTATTTTTACCACTTTATTCTTTTTATAAAATTAATATAATTATTATATTTTACAAATTAAATTAAATTTAAATTTTTTTACAAAATTATTTATCTATTTTTCACAACACCAAAAAAGATCAAATTTTCGATGAAATTTCTGAGTTGCAAACGATGAAAATTTCATTACAAAATTACTTTTTTCGTTAGAATACTTTTCATCGAAAAGCGAAATTTTTCAACCGATGAAAAATTTTACAAAAATAAATTTTCTATCGAAATTTAGTTTCCATCAAAAGTTTTGACGAAAATGATTTCCTCCATCAAATGTTTTAAACGAAAAAAAAAATACTGTCAAAAAATTTTGACGGAACGTTTTCCATTCAAAATTTTGTTGGAAATGTGTTCTGACGAAAATTTCAACAGAAATTGTTTTATTAGAAATTTTGAGGGAAATGTTTCATTCGAAACTTTTGACGAAATTTAGATTTTGTAAAGAATTTTGACAGATTATTTTTTCCGTCAAAATTTTTTGTCGAAATATTTTCCGTCAAAATTTTTTACGAAAATATTTTCTGTCGAAATTTTTTCACAGAAATGCGTTCCGTTAAAATTTTTGATGAAAATGTTATATATCAAAAAACTTGACGGAAATATTTTTCGTTTAAAATTTTCGATGGAAATGTGTTTCGTTAAATATTTTGACAGAATTTTTTTTTGCCAAAAAGTTTAACGAAAATATTTTTGTCGAAAACTTTCGGCGAAATTTAAATTTTGTTAAGAAATTTGATGAAATTTTTTTTTGCCAACAATTTTCGATAGAATTGTGTTTCGTTGGAAATTTTGATGGAAATATTTTTCGTCAAAAATTTCGATAAATATGTTTTTTGTGAAAAATTTAGATTCCGTAAAGAATTTTGACAAAAAAAATTTCTGTCAAATTTTTTACAAAAATATTTTAGTCACAAATTTCGATACAAATATTTTCCGTAAAAAATTTTGACGTAATTGTTTTACGTCAAAACATTTAGATGGAAATGTGTTTCGTCAAAATTTTTGACGAAAATATTTTCGTTAAAAGTTTCAACTGAATTTAGATTCTATCAACATTTTGACTGAATTATTTTTCCGTAAAAAATTTAAGTGAATGATTGATTATTGCAAAATTTGGTTTCGTCTTTAGTTTTGATGAAAAAAATTTGACGTATATTATTTTTATCAAAAATTTCATTGCTATTTTTGACGAAATATTTTTCGTCGATAAATTCTATCGGTATTTGAGACTTTTGTAATAATATCGCATTTAAAAATGATTAACAATTATGTAGTTTTCACATTTTAATGCTAAGGGTAGATAAGTAATTTTTAATATTTCCCCCCTCAAACCCTCCAAATTGGGGGAACTTTGATTTTAAGAAGAAGGAGGATTTTGGAGGGTTTAGTAAAAATCTCCAAATTCGTCTTCTCCTTTTTTTAAACTCACAAACAAGGGAAGAGCTTACTAAAACCCTCCAAATTTTCGTTGTAGATGTCTAAGCAACTTCCTCTTGTATTCTCTCTTTATAGTAATGATCATAGATTATACATATATTTTACTTGATGGAAAAAGTATTTATCATTTTAAATGACATAACTTATATCATTTCACTCTCACAAAGAGGTGGGACCCACATCTTTATTTATTTTTTTTGTCAATTGTCTCTCCACCTTTATCTATCTCTTCCTCTCTCTTTAAATGACACAACTTTATATACTTTAAAATAACACACACTTTACCTTTACTTGATTGTAACAATTCCTCCCGGTGACATTACAAGCTGGTACAATAAGATGATAAAGTACAAAAGAGTTGACAATTTATTAATTGACTGCTTAGTCATCACAAATTTAAATAAACTAAGGTCGGATGTTTATCATTTTAAATGATATAAATTATGTCATTTTAGAAGAGAGATAGACACAAAAAATAAAAATCATGTGGGAGAAAGTTAGTGGTTTTTTTAAATTTAAATTTCAAATAAAAAAATATAATTTTGTGTCTATCTCTCTCTTAAAATAACATAATTTTCTGTCATTTAAAATAAAAAACACTTTCCCATAAACTAATGGTATGTATATATACAAGTTTTACACAAGTTTCCTCCGAATCAAACTAAAAAGAATATGAATTGTGTAATCTTTTACTTTTTCTTTTTTCTTCAAGTGGTGAAACCATATATTATCTATATGATATGAGACACTTCAACATGAGGTTCATAACACCTAAAGAAAAATGATCTCCTAAGTTGCATCAGTCATTGTAATATTCGAACATTAATATCTCCTACAGTGAGATATTAATAGGTTTTGGTTTGTTCATGCTTTCTGGCCTCCAAGATGACAATGAATGGCGTGCAGAGGAGGTTTCATGTCATTACTAAATATATTTTAATATAATTTAAACACAGTTAGTACGATTTTATTTTATAATTTATTTGACTCATTTATATTTTTAAATAACATTATAGGAATAGATGCTTTTAAACTTAAATAATTAGGACATTAGAGAAATGAGTGAAGAGAGAGAAACCGGCAAGGAGGCAGGAGATGCTACGGCGGAGGAGGAAGATCTTCTCCATCGAAGCACAAAAAAACCTAAAGACCCTGCTATGGAAGATCAATCTATGGATGATCACATGGCAGATGAGGATATCCAGGTGAATGTGACTAGCAACGGGGAAAAAAGAAGGAGGAGTCGGGTGATTCATCTAACAGAAAGTTGGTGTCATATAAAGATTCTCTTCTTGGTTTTAATGGAAGACCCCATGCTGCTGATAGCGATGAGGAAGATTAGGTAGAAAAACTACATAAGGAAGAGGACGAAGAAGAAGTGGATGAGGTCTTTGTTACGGTTGAGGGTGAGGAGGATCCTCTTTGCCCAACGTACTCTTTTCCAAAAGCCTTGCATTTAGAAGGTTGCAGACCTTGGAGACAGGTAGTGACTGTAAAACTTCTGGGGAAGAAAGTTGGAGTTAGATTCTTACTCAATCGTTTACTGAGAATGTGGAATATCTCAGGCACATATGAGTTCATTGATCTGGAGAATGACTACTTTTTGTTTCGATTTTCCAATAAGAATGATTACTCTCATGTTTTGGAGGATGGTCCTTGGATCATAGTTGATCATTATGTGGTAGTTCAACAGTGGCATCCATTTTTTAATCCTTATGATGATGAGATCAGAAAGCTGGCAGTTTGGATTCGTATTCCAGGACTTCCTATTGAATTCTATACCTCTCATCATTTGTGGAATATAGGTAGTATTTTTGGTCGCACATTGAAGATTGATAGGAACTCTGTCAAGAAACGTGATCCTGGTGAAGGTGATATTACAGAGAGAGCAAAGTTTGCTAGAATTTGTGTAGAAGTTGATCTTAGGAAAGGCTTTTTGTCCAAATTCCTGATTGCTGATCGTATCTTCCACATTGGATATGAGAGTCTCCACTTAGTTTGTTTTGCTTGTGGAAAGTATGGGCATAGAAGGGATCAGTGTTCCCATAGTAATCTTCAACAAGATATTACGGCTTATTCTCCTGAAGTTTCTGACTCGATGGTGCATAAACAGTTGGAAAAAGATTATGTTCCGGCGAAGGAGGAACCGTTTGGGAATTGGATGCTGGTGCAGCGTAACCGTCGTTCAAGGAGCATAACACAATCAAAGGAGGAATCAAGGAGCATAGCACAATCACAGAAGGAATCATTATCATCGGGTAGGAGACAAGTTGGCGTTGTTAATAATGCAGCGTTACGTAATAAGGAAGTTTCCAATTCTGATCCTAATCACGGACAGGTCATTCAATCTGGTTCAAGATTTCAAGCTATTGCTGAGTTGGCTCAAAAGGATAATAATATCTTAATTATTTCTAATTCTCCAGTGATTGATTCTATCAGCATTGAATCTGGTCTTACACGAATTAATCATGGGGAATTAATTGCTCATAATGAAGAACCATTGGTGAAAAATGATATTCAAATGGAAACAGTTTCTCCATCAGCTAACCTATCCGCGGGCAAGTCGAGAAAAAAGGTCCAAAGTCAAGGAGTAAAATTCAAAGAAAACCAAAAGAAGAAAG